AGAATCTCAACTCAAGAAAAAAAGGTAAAGCTTATTGAGAGAAAGAGACCCCCAGGGTCTGGAGCCAGGTGCCTCAGCCTGCCTGCCAGGAGGGAAGGGGTTTCTTTTATAGAGCAATCAAGCTATTTTGGGAGACTATATGCTAGACAGATATGGGAATTAGACTTCTCACCTTTCACTTTGTGTCACTGTCTGCTACTCCCCAGGCAGTGAACCTGGGGTGGAGGCTCCTGCCAAGACCTGTCCTGCAGAGATCCGGCCTTGGTTTCTTATCAGGATTGGAATGATACCAGGTGATGCTCAGAACTTTACTGAATGGGACCTTACACTGAGTGTGAGTTTCTGGATGTGACCTGCAATGGCCGGTCTGACCCCTTCTCATTTGGCTTGCTTAGCATTTGTCTGTTTCTAGGACTGCATAGGTGCTCATGAAGTGCTGGTCCCAGGTCTAACCATCAAGAACAAAGTAGGAGTCCTTCCTTTCCTTCCCTCTCTTTCTTTTCTTTTCCTTTTTCCCTCCCTCTCTCCCTTTTCTTTTTCTTCTTTCTTTCTTTTCTTTCTTTCTCTCTTTCTTGCCTTCCTTCTCTTTCTTTCTTTTTAAAAATCATTTTATTTAACTTTATTTATTTATTTTATTTATTTATTTTAATTTGATCAGACAGGGGGAGAGAGAGAGAAAGGAAAATGGAGAAAGCAAGCCTCCAGGTCTGGGTTTGAACCATGGTTGGCCCTGTGGGAGTCCAGTGCCCTAACTACTACATCACCTGCAAGCCCCTTTCTTTCTTTTTTCTTTCTTTCTCTTTATCTCTCTCTCTCTTTTCTCTCTTGCCAGTTGGCACATGGACTTGAGAGAGAGAGAGAGAAAAGGAGAGAGAGATGCGCAGAGAAAGCACCCCGCAGTGTTACATGGTCATGTCATAATCCTTTTCCCTCCATTTCCCCTCCCCTCGGGACTTTGGGCATGGATATACATGACTGGCATGCTCCCCAAGCTGCAGGGGCCAGGACTCGAATCGCAATCAGCCATGAGGGATCTAATTTTCTATGCAGATTACTGAAGTACTGTGCTACAGGTTCAGCCAGACAAAGTAGGCCTTCCACTCACCCCCTCCTCTCACCACCTGTGGAGTTTTACTCTGGGGGCTGAGCAGATGATACCTTCAAATGAACATCTTAGAAGTAGCTTCAGATGCAGAGTTTCTGACCTTCTCTTCTCTCTTGCCTCTTATCCTTCCCTGAGACAAGCCATATAAACTAGAATTCTCTTACCCCCAGGAGACTCACACAAACCAGAATTCCTTTTCCATGAAGCTAGTCATAAAATTTAAAAACAATACACGTGGCAGAACCAAATTGACTCCATCTTGAAGCTGATCAACCATCTTGACTGACATTTAACTACAAGGCCCCCACGACTGTGTTTCCAAGGCTGGATGCAGACCAAGATGTTAGAGTAAACAAGCCTGTTATGGTTCACTGGGCAATCTGCCCTGATTATGGCTAAGATATGGGAAGACATATGTGGAGTCTGTACATGCCTAGAATGCCTCTCTACATGCACTCCCCATTCCTCTGCACACAGCCCCCTCCTGTACTACATAAGCAGATGCCTTTGGGATGAAAGGTGCAGATATAACCACTTTATAGACACCCGAGACCTCACTTCTGTCTCTAAGTTCCCTTAATAGTAAGTTAGACTTTTCTGTCCCATTCTTTGGTCTTTTAGCATCTTCGAAGTCTGAAGGCTGTTTTGCTTACACAGCTTCATCTTGGAATATTACTCTAATTTTCTCCTTCCTTTCTTGGGTAGAAGAAAATTATCTGACCTACTTTGCCTGATAGTTTATAATGAGACCATTGTTACAGAAGGGCCCTCCTCCATTCTTCAGAGGAAGGGATATTCCGCAGGAAAGCCAAGAAGAATCTAGACAGACAGGTCTTACTAGGCTTCCCTTCTCTGCCAAGCTTATACTCTTTTTGTCAAATCACACTTCTGTGTGCCCTTCCTATTTCATTGAACCTACGCATAATCACATAGCTTCCCCTGTCTCGTTAGGTTTTCAATCTGAAGGTTCCTGTGCCTACATGTGTATCTGAAAATAAATTTTTATGCCTTTTTCTTATTAGTTAGCCTATTATCAATGATTTTCAGCAAACCTCAGAGGGTGAATTCCTTTTCTCCTAAAATCTCTACACCTTGACCTAGAAGTGGCTTAGAAGTGGCTCTTGGCCACTTCTCAAATCTTTGCCAGCTTTGTCCTGCCTGCCTCCATTCCAGCTACACATGTCCATCAGGGTGACCCAGAAGTCCTGCAAGGTGTCTGCCTCCGGCACCCGGTCCCCCTTTAGCAGTTGCTTGCAAATGAGTGCACCTGACACCCACATCAGCTCCTCAGGCTTCTACCAGGTGGACAGCAGCAGTGACTTCTGGGGTGATCTGGTCTTTGGCCTGAGTCTGCATCTGGGCTACGGTTTTGCTGTTGGTGTTGGAGGCATCACAGCCATCATGGTGAACCAGAGTCTACTGAACTTCTTTAAACTAGAGGTAGACCACAACATCCAAGCCATATACACCTAGGAGAAGGAGCATCAGAGTCTACTGAACTTCTTTAAACTAGAGGTGGACCACAACATCCAAGCCATGCACACCTAAGAGAAGGAGCAGATCAAGACCCTAACAACAAGTTATCTTCCTTCATCAACAAGGTATGGTTCCTGGAGCAGCAGAACAAGATTCCAGAGACCTAGTAGTGCCTCCTGAAGCAGAAGACAGCTCAGAGCAACATAGACGACATGTTGGAGACCTACGTCAACAACTTGCTTGGCAGCTGGTCACCCTGGGCCAGGACAAGCTGAAACTGGAGGGGAGCTTGGCCACATGCAGGACCTGTAGGAAGACCTCAAGAATAAGTATGAGGATGAGATCAACAAGTGTACAGAGATGGAGAATGAATCCTTGAGAAAGATGTGGATGACGCTTACGAGAACAAGGTGGAGCTGGAGCCTTGCCTGGAAGGGCTGACCAATGATCTACTTCCTCAGGTAGCTGAATGAAGAGGAAATCCACAAGCTGCAGTCCCAGATCTCAGACACGTCTGTAGTCCTGTCTATGAACAGCAGCCGTTCCATGAACATGGATGGCATAATCAACGAAGTCCGTGCCCAGTATGAGGAGACTGCCCACTGCAGCCAGGCTGAAGCCGAGGGCACATATCAGATCAAGTATAAGAAGCTGCAGTCACTGGCTAGGAAGCACAGGCATGACCTGCATCACACAAAGACTGAGATATCTGAGAAGAACCAGAACATTGACCATCTCCAGGCTGAGATCAAGAGATCAAAGATCAGAGAGCTTCTCTGGAGGCCTGATGTTGAGCAGCATGCGGAACTGGCCATTAAGGATGCCAACACCAGGCTGGCGGAGCAGGAGGGTGCCCTGTAGTGGGCCATTCAGGACATGGGCGGCAGCTGCATGAGTACCAGGAGCTCATGGCCGTCAAGCTGGTTGTTGACATCAAGATTGCTGCCTACCACAAGCTGCTGGAGGGTGAGGTGAGCCGACTGGAATCTAGGATGCAGAACATGAGTATCCATATGAAGACCACCAGTGGCTACTCAAGTGGGCTGACCTCGGCCTAAGGGACCTCACAAGCCCTGGCCTCAACTACGGCCCGAGCTCCTTCCAGTCCAGCTTTGACTCTGATGGAGGCTCCAGCTCCTTCAGAAGCACCAGCTCCTCCAAGGCCATGGTCATGTAGAAGATTGAGACGTATGATGGGAGGCTGGTATCTGAGTCCTCTGATTTCCTGCCCAAGTGAATGGCCACTGCAGCCCCTCCTCACCTATCCTCCTCCTCTGGCTACCCCAGGTCCGGAAAGCAGTAGTACAGGGGAGTGTAGAGAACAGAAGACTTATCTGAGGTTTGACACCCCACCCTAGGGAGGGCTCTACTGCCTGGGTCCTTCCTTTGCCCATGCCCCCAACTGAAAATCAGTTTAATTGTATTTTCTAATAAAGTCTCATCTTGCTCTGCTAAACAAACAAATGAACAAACAAACAAAAAACCTTTATGCCTCTTTCTCTGAGGTTCAGTAATTTGGGTAAGAAAGAAGGCAGGCTTCTTACTTAGGCCTCTATGGGACATTTAGTATCTTGTGGTTTGGTTCATTATTTAGCAACCCTCTCTCTAGACATCTCTCAGTCCAAAGCAGGTAGGATAGAGACCCCCAGCCATCAGGATAGCTCTTGACTCTCAACCTTCAAAGGCCTGGACCAGCTGTGATCTTTGAACATTCATTTCCACAGTGACTGATTTTACCACCTACTTGTCACTACCTCCTGTTAAGGAGTGGTAGACACTCCATATCTGATTAGAAACCTCAGTCCTAGAGCTTCCAGGTCAGTGGTTCCAAGCAAATATTCACTCTCTCTCCAAGAATCACTTCAAATCCTGCACCAGATGGGCACTGACATGCAACACTTGGCTTCATAGCTTAAGCATTTGCTTATATACAGAGATGATGCTTTTCTTTGGTCACCATTCCTAAAGGCCCCAGGAAAATGAGTGCCAAGTTGCAAGGTAACAATGAACAAAGTGTTAAGAAGTGTGGCCAATAGGTAGCACGGTGGTTAAGGCACTGGACTCCCACATGAATGACCTCGGTTCGAGTTTCTGGACCTGGTCGCTTTCTTTCTCACTTTCCCTCTCTCTCTCTGGCAAAATTTAAAAAATAAGAAATATAATAAATTAAATAAATAATTCTTAAAAAGAAACAGAAAAAGAAAGTGTTGTTTAATGTTTGATGTTTGGTATTTGTATCTCCAAGAGACAATACTGTAATTAAAGTTGTGAAAAAGAACAAAGGAACTAGGTCACTTGGGGGGTGCTCCCTGAAAAACTTGAATTTTTATATACTTCTTGATTTACTGCTTGCCCCACCCCTTTTCCACTGACACTGAGAGTATAAATTGTTCTGGTGTGCAGCACAGCAAAGGCCAACATGAAGAAGGTCACAGTCTTGATTCTGGTGGCTTTTGTCACTGTGGGGATGGAGGTCGCCTACGCTAAGAGACCTCCTTTCAGAGGTGAGTATGTTACAGGGCTCCAGGCTGACAGCAGAGAATACTCAGAGCCCAGCTGAGACCTGGGGATGGTCTGGAATCATATCTTTGCATTGAAGATCCATTCCTTTTGACCTATAGGCATGATCACTCCACATGTCCCATCCTTCTCATTGGGGTGGGTCAGCTATTAGTTGCGGGTAGAGAATAGGGTCATTCCTTTAGTTAGAAGGTGTGTCCTGGATGTGGGACTCCAAGAGAAAGTAGCTCTGGAATGAACACAGGATATGTGGGGGTGGAGAAATGGCTGTCTGTAATCAGAGCTTTTATAGTATCTTCTGGTAAGGAGGAAAATGGAATTATGACAGGGCAGGTTTATTGTCAGCTGAAAATCTACAGACTTTAGAGCAGTGAGGACATTCTTCTAAAGGTCAGACTTTAAAAATGGGGGCTTAATGGGGCCAGCAGATAGCGTGGAGTTTAAGGTGGTTGAACCCCATATGACTGGCTGTATAGTTTGAGTACTGAACCCAGTAATTTGAAAATCGAGTTGTGTGTGTGTGTGTATTTGTGCCCAAAATCCTGAGAGGAGAATGGAGAAGGGCATGTGGTATGTCCAACCCATCTGGGGGATGATTTCTCACTTTCTTTCTCTGTCTCTCTCTGTCTCTCCTGTGTACATGTGCCCTATAGAAAAAAGAGAAAAAAAGGTGGGAGGTAGGAGGGACTTAAAAGTGACAGGGAAGCTGATGAGGCTGAAGTAAGAGTTCAGGAGTGTGAAGGAAGAAATGAGAGAGATTAGAGTTTTGTAGCAGTTGTCAGACCTTCAACATCTGTTCCCATTCCTGTCTCAGAGATTGCTCTAGGCTCCAAAATAACCATTGTATATTTCAGGACCAGAAAGACCTGGAGTCTGCCCAGAGGTGCCCGAAGGAAGTTTTGGGCCTTGTGTTGAGTTGTGTTTAGAAGATGAATCATGTCCTGAGAGAATGAAATGCTGCAGCAATGGGTGTGGTCATGTCTGCAAACGTGCTCTTTCTAAAGTGAGTATAAATCAGACAAGAGCTGACCAAGGGGTGGACAAATCCTCAGTGGACATTTCTGGGGTAGATTGACACTCACTTGTCCACTGCACATGGAAATCTGGATACCTCAAACAGAAATGGGCTGGAAGCAAATGGCAGAAGGATGTTTAGCTCCACTGTCAAAGGCTGTCCTGTAGGAGAGAAATCCCATCCAAATATGGCCTTGTGAGACTCAAGTGAGACAAGTAACCATGATCCTACATTCACAGTCATTATTAACTAAAGGTTTCCCATCCTATTTCTTCCTTTCCTTCATCCTCTTGAAAAAAAAAGTGTTCCTAGGACAGAGGTATTGTGATGGCCATTAAAAAAAAAACAAGAATTATCTTATTTAACTTTGTTTATCATTATTATTAATTAAATTTGATGAAAGATAGAGAAAGTGAGAAAGCAAGCCACCAGGTGTAGATTTGAACTGTGGTTGGCCATGTGGGAGTCCGGCAACCTTAACTACCATGCTACCTGGTGGCCCAATAATGGCCACTTTGGGGTGTCAACTTAGCTAGACTACAATCCCCAGGTGACTCTGCATCTTAAGAAACTTAACTCTCTTTGGAAACAGGTGAACCAGGACACTGACAGGAAAAGAAGAGAATCACAATTTATTGGGTATTTCCTGTGTCAGGTAGAAATTGTGCTGAGGTTGAGATAAAACAATAAAAATAACTGGATGAGAGAAACTTATCTATTAATATATTACAACCTTGTGCTTTGGATTGGATTGTGTTTAGATTTCTACTAAGTTCTGTGGGAACTGAGAGAAGAGTCATTAGCTTTGGTGGGAGAGTTAGGCAAGTGGTCAAAAGTGGACAATATTTAAGGGGGAGTTTAAAGGATACATGAAGATTTTGAGACCAGGAAGTGCAGTTCGGATAAGAGGAGATATATGGACTCTCCTTTAGAGATATAAAATGATTGCACCGGGTAGATGTCACAGGGAGCAATGAGCTGCCTGCCAGAGTTTGAATGGAGAAGCAGAAGTGTCATGATCTAATTTGTATTTCACAAGGGTGGCTCTGGTGGTCATATGATAGACGGACTGGACACTTACAAGTATGCCTGGTGAACAGCCCCAGAAGATTTCTCGTGAATCTGTGAATCCTATGCTTGGTGTAACATGACTCTCCCATAATCCACTTCTGGCTATTCCTTATCCTTGGAATTTTATCCCTGAAAGATGAAGATCTACAGGTTGGGTGACTGCTTTCTAAAGAACATGTGTCCAAAATAAACCATATCCATAGCATCATCAAGCTGAGTCATTCTTCCTATTTAGGTGTTTCATTTACTTTCTGTATGAGCAGAACCATCAGTGTGTGCTGCACTGGGACCCATAAATACAAGGCAATTAGGACCCCTGCTGGCCAGAGACAAGTCCCCCTACCAAATCTCTCCTATTCTTCCATTACTGTTTCCAGAAAGGGCCAAGGCCAGATGAATATTTTCTTGGGCATTCTGTGAATATAGTTTTTGGACTATATTTAAATGGCCATGGTGCACTGGAGCAGCCTTTATCCTTTATCCGTGTAGGCGTAGAAGGTGCAGGAGTGGGTGAGAGCACACCACATTCTAAGGCTATACACCAACATCCAGCAGGACAAGATGCCGAACTTCAGGAGAGCGATCCTGACCCTAGAGATATGGGACTTTAAGAGGCATGAGTTGGGAAGTGCCAGCTCCTGCTATGGAGTGAACACGAATAGCAATATCTGCAGAAATTTTGTCTCCTGCCTTATTCTTGCAGTTCGGCAGTGATGGCTGGCAAGTACCATCACCCTTCCCTGGCCTCTGTTGCTTTCTTGACACAACCTCATAGAAGCTCCAATCCTAGAACAGGAGAGGAATCATTATCCACCACTTAGGTGTCAGTAGGTGATACTAGGTACTGCATGGTGTTGTCAAAGGAGTTAGAAAGATGAGGAGGAAAGAGCATAGGTCAGGCAGTCAGAATTATGTTTTTCTCCTATCCATCCCCAGTACGTATGAAACTGGTAGAACTGCAAAGAAAAACAGACAAGCCCACAATTATTCTCAGAAATTAAAAAACTTCTTTCTTAATAACTGATGGGAAAAGTGAACAGAAAATCAGTTACAAGAGAGAAGACTGGAAACTTAATCAATAATATCAACCAATTAATTGGCATTTATAGACAGTACAACACATTCTTTTCAGGAGTGCATGGAATAGTAACCAAAACAGATCACATTTGGGATCATAAACAGGTACTAATAAGTTTTGAGTCCCAGGCCTGGTGGTTTGAAACTCACACTGGATGCGTGTGTATACATGCCCAAAATCACAGGAGGAGAATAAAGGAGGATGGATTGTGTTATGTTCATCCCCATGAGGGGCAATTTCTTCCTTTTCTTCTTGCGGTCTCTTTCAGTCTCTCTAGTGAGTACATGCACCCTATGGAAAAAATTTAATTTTAAAAATATTTAATAAAATTAAATATCTAAGAAAGGTATCTGGAAATTTCCCAGATATCCCAAAGCTAAATGGCACATCAATAAATAAGCTATAGGTCATAGAAGAAATAAAATGGGAAATTAAAAAGCATTTTTATAATACCTGAATGAAAATGAAAACACACCTATCGAAATTTGTGGGAAGCCATGAAAACAGTTCATTTCCATAAATGAGTATGATAGAAAGGTATCAGTTCCACTTAAAAAATTATTTTTAAAAGAAGCAAAGTGAACTCAAAGTAAGGAGAAAAGGAATATAGTAAAAATAAGAGTGGAAATCAATAAAAATATACGTGAAGGATAAAGAAAAATCAGTGGAACTAAAAACTACTTCTTAAAGATCAATAAAATTGATAATTCCCTAGTGAGACAAAACAGGAAATTAAAAAAGACCCAGATTACCAATTTGGGAATAAGAGAGGTGACATCACTACAGTTTGAATAGATATTAAAAGAATAATAAGAAAATTTAATGAATAACTGTTCGTCAATACACTCAACAACATTGATGAAATGATTAAGTTGCTTGAAGGGGCACAAATTGTACCAGTTACTGATTTATTACCTCTTAGCCCCCAATTCACCCTCTTGGTATGCTCTGTGAATAAACATCTGGGTTTAAAATTTTTTATTTATCAAGTTGGCACCAAAGCTTTGTCAGCAGAGGGCACTGGAGAGACATTTCAAGAGGAAGAGTTTTGCTTCCTGTAGCACTTGCAGCTTTCTGCAGAGCATGAGTCCTTCAGTGCTTGCAGCTCCTCCAGTGCTTGCAGCTTCTCCAATGCTTGCAGCTTTTCTAGTGCTCAGTGCCTGGTCTACATGGTGGCCAACAGTACTCAATGGCTAGCAGCTTGCCCCAACCTCCTACATTTGCTCTGCATCCTGGCCATGGGTGGATTTGTGGGGAGAAAGAGAGAGAGAGAAGAGAGAAAGAGATTGATCTTCTTCAGGGCTTAGTCACCTCATGATCCCCTCCCTCCAGCCCTCCAGCCCTCCAACCTTTCAGCCTACTAGAATCCTGGGCACATACACATCCTGGCTTGTTTTCAGGCTGGCCAGACTGAGGACTCAAACCATAGTCAACACGTGACTTCCAGCTCTGCAATCCTGTGTGCTACTGGCTGGGCCGCAGAGTCTGGGACCTTGACTTTTTGATTACAGCTATTTCAGTGGGCAGGAAGTATAATAGCATCTCATTTTGGGTTTGATTTGCATTTCTATAATGACTCATGAGGTTGAATGTCTTTTCATGTGCTTATTGACCTTTGTGCAGTTTCTTTGGAGAAATGTTAGTTCAAGTCTTTCATCCTTTGAAAAATTGGATTTGTCTTTTTGCTGTTGAAATGTAGAAATCTTTTTTTTTTCTTTTTTTGGAGAGGTTTTTGCTTTAGGGCGCGTGTGCTCGCCAGACAGACAGAGAGAGACAGAGAGATAGAAAGCGAGAAATCATCCCCCAGGGGGTATGGCCATGCCACAATCCCTTCTCCTCCATTCTCCTCTCGGGATCTTGGGCACGCACACGCGCCCGGTGTGAGTTTTAAGCCACCGGGTCCGGGACGCGAACCGCAGTCGACTACTTGGGAGTCCAGCAACATAGCCATTATGCTAACTGCTGGTCCCCGAAATGTAGAAATCTTTATATAGTCTGGATACTAGACCCTTATTAGACATATGATTTGTAAATCATTTCTCCTGTTTTTTGAGTGGTCTATTCGTTTTCTTGGTAGTGTTCTTTGATGCATGAAAGTTTTTAATTTTGATGAAGATTAATTTATCTATTTCTTTATTTGTCTCTCCTAGTCTTATTTATTTACTTTCATCCTTTTATTGAAGCTCACAATTTCACTACACTTTTGGCCCCAAGTAAAAAAAATACATACTAGTAATAAAACACAACAAACACTGGAAGTGGGAGGTGATTGTCCCTTGGGGACTGAAGCCAAGAACAGCATGGCAGGCAAGTGAGGAGTCCAAGATGCCCAGAATGTGGACTGTCTGAGCTCCCTTAGTAAGGCACAGTGTCCAGGTAGCTAGAAGTAAACACTGAGGACATGGGGGTGTGAGTGTGGTGGAATCCAAGTCACTGGTTCCATAGGTAGATCTTTTTCATGCTTGGTCAGATTCTACTTTGGAGAAATTGGACTCATTTGACAAGATGACATGAGTGAAGGAACACAGGTGCTCAGGGTAGGAGGCCAATGAACACTTAGCATTGGCTTCAGAGCAGAGAAGAAAAAGCTAAAAGCCAGAGCCCAACTGACCAGACACTAGCTTTTCTTCAATGACTGACGTCTGGCTCCTACTGCAACACTATGCCACCGACTGCCCAAGGATGGCAGGACATTCACCTTCCAGTCCTCTACTACGTCAGGTCCCTTCCCGTGTGGCCTCAGCCCAAGTCTCCACTCTTTAGTGACTATGACACAGTACTCCCAGGCCTCTTTGGGAATAATGCTGTATCAAGCAAGGGAAAAACCTTTTCTAGGAGAGGCAGGAAAAGAGAAGGCCCACATGCTTCTCTCACTCAAAGGGACTAAGGAAGGTCCCAGGTGCACTCCACTCTACAGATGGACTGGGTTCATATCATCCAAGAAGCTGCCATGGTGATGAAGTTCTTGAAGCTGAGCCAGATGTTGATCTGAACTGTATCTTTCTCCTGAAAGGACTTGATCAGCACCTACAAGTGGATGAACGCCTGGATGAAGTAGTGAAGCTTCATGGCAGGATTGGCAGAATGCAAGCTGTGGTGGGACACCAGGGGTGAGGGAGGTGAGGGCTCCAGTAGCCCATTTCAGACAGAGCTTGCTGCAGCTCCATGTAGCTACTGGAGCTCAAGCTGTTGAGGTAATACTGCTGGAGGGGGTTCTTCTACTGCTGTATGAATTTCCACAGGGCTGAGAAACCATTGACATGGGTTCAGCCTATCTTAGTCTTATCTAACTCTTTACCATTGGGACCAGCAGATGGCATAATCGTTATGATGCTGGACTCTTACATAGTTGACTGTGGTTCAAGTCCTGGACCAGACAGCTTAAAATCCATGCTGGGTGCATGTGCATAAATGCCAAAATCCTGAAAGGAGCATGGAGAAGAAAGGATTGCAGTGTGGTTGTCCCTCCCTAGGAGGTTGAGTTCTTGCTCTCTGCCTTTCTGTCTCTTCAGCAAGCGCACATGCCCTATAGTAAAAACTTCTCTCTAAAACAAACAAACAAACAAACAAAAAACTATTTATCATCATGAGATGTATCTTGACCACTTGGAGCAAACCAGAACCTGCTTCAGCTTTTTGATGGAGATGCAGCTACTGTGATCACAGTCCATTGACTGGAACCAAGAACAGCCTCTGGATCCACATTGGGAGGGACACCACTCCATCTCTGTCCAGTTGACGAGTGTAGCTGGAAGAAGGCTTTCAGTGTAGATTCACAAGTACTTGCAGCTCATTTCTACTCCATTAATCCTTCAGACTTTTCCTATAGTCACTTCTGTGTTTGATTTTGCTTTAAGAAATGGTGAGTTGTCCTTCTCCAGTATTAAAAAATTCTCTGGGGACCGGCAGATGGTGTAATGATTTAGTGATTACATTGCTGGACTCCCACATAGTTGACTGCAGTTCGAGTCCTGGACCTGGTAGCTTAAAACTCACATGGGGTACATGTGTGTGTGTGTGTGTGTGTGTGTGTGTGCACAAAATCCCAAGAGAGAATGGAGGGGAAGAGATTGCAGTGTGACTATCACCCCTGTGGGGGTGATTTTT